CCCCCCTCCCCCCCAGGCCATCACCAAAAAATTATGAGATCGATCGAGCTGATGCCTGGACCAACGTCTCGAAATGGAGCCATACATTAGTAACTGGGTTGATATGAGCAATAACTATGGTAAATAGTATACACTATCAATGATAATTTTACGTTATTGACGTTTTCAACTTAACAAATAAATTTTGGAAATAATGCGTGCACGTGCTACTCTGCACTGGGCGCGCCGCTCTCATGTCATGTAGACAAAGGGTTCAGTATTATATAAATCTTACCTTCGTCCGTGGCCGGCAGCTGAAATCCTATTCTCACGGCGGTCACAAGTTCAGTAGTGAGCTGAAAATAAGGCTGCAATGCCCTGTCGTAGCTCATTGAGGCATGTAGTCGGCGGCATCCCCTCGCACATGGACGCAAACACGACTTGGTTCCGCCATCTGTTGACAGTGTTGTTTTTTTGCAAACTTTGCACACGGTACTGGGCGCGGCTCATGCCACATTCGTGGGAGGAGACAATTCCCAAACAATTTGATTGAAACGTTTAAAATGTAATACAACCCAAAAAACGAGACATTATAACACTTTTGTACGTGTAAATGCAACTAAGATATAGTAAAATCAATGTTTAATGCGCCTTGGCGTGAAATACGATTAGGTATCTGTAATATACATTGCGCCCCCCTGAACCGCTCAGTAGTGGAACAGTCCGAACCGCGTTCGAGTTCCATAGCGCTCCTGGCCAGCACGCGGTCGAACTAGAACGCGAATTTTCGAGCATAGGCTGCCTTAACCCAACCGAGTAGTTTTGCACGAGAATGTTATGTAGCCTCCAAGGAATTTCTCCCGTGCGTCTTTAGTTGTTTTAACAGGGTCTCCCGCGATCGTGAAGCTAATGCAAGTTTTGTTCAGATATCGTTCTAGATAGAGTGCAACTTTTGTTGATTTGCAATGAAGCAATGTTTGTCATTACTCTGTCATGTATGTTTTTTTGTTGTTGTTGTTTTCTTGTACTTGTAGTGCCATGACCAATTGGGGGCAAAAAGCAAATTAAAGATCAAGTGATGGCCACACAACATGTGGGACAAATGTATCTTTTACTTGTTGGAAGCCAATTCTGTCCAGAAAATGTTTTCGAAAGGTATACATCATAGTCTAATTGAATAGAAAACGCACTCAACTTGTACTAATGTACATGTACTCTATTTCTTGAGATTACGTGAACCACATGTATTCTTTCATAGTGGGTCGAGCCGCAAAATAATGTCGATCTGAAGAGTGCCACCATAACGCGCGACACAGTGTATCCCTCAACATGTAACGCCAACCATCGAATTGACTTGTTTTGGTTTATTTACAGAGGTCTTATAAAAAAACAATTTCGACGCCAACCAACGAATTAACTTGTTTGGTCACAGAGCTCTTTGTGACAACTATCGGAAGGCTATGCTAGCAGCTCCGCGGTTGGAGCCCCGTAGACTATAGATCCATTGGGAAAATTAATGACAAATAAAACATTGAATTTACTTAATATACACAAAAAACAAAAAAAAAAAACAATGTGATGCGAACCAACGAATTGACTAGTTTTGTTGCAGACCTCTGTATATCACAGAGGGCTGTGCTAGCATCTCCATGGAGTAGCTATGCAGAGCTCAATGTAGTTATTGAGTTTGTGACGCGAACCAACGAATTGATTTGTTTGTGCCAGGAGCTCCCTCCACAGAGCTCTCAAATACTAATTATTCTGACGCCTACCTCGGAATTGACTTGTTATGTACGCAGACGCTGCTCATGTGTGGCGGAAAGCTGTGTGTATGGTCAAATATGAATAAACGACACTTTATTTTTGTACGGATCGGAGGCTTACGTGTCTCTTGTTTTTGAGCACCAGTGATTTTTTTTTCAAAACAACCCAAGTCAAAAACGACAATATTCTCAGAAGGGTTTGACCGTAAATTAGGACTGAAAAAAAGTAGAACCTCCTTGGTGGAACAAAATGTATATAGACTTGTAAAAATGCATCCAACTCAAATTATGATATGCTACCAATAAGAAACATGGAAAACAAAAAGATGAAGAAACATTGTGACGCCAACCAACGAATTGACTTGTTAGGGCGCAGAGCTCTCCGTGTTGTCGTGCGCAGAGTTGCGTGACGAAGTCTTTATTTGTGACACAGTACTGACTGTATCGCCTACTACTCACATTGAATTGACTTGATATCTACAGAACCCGTGACGCCAACCAACGAATTGACTTGTTAGGGTGCAGAGCTCTCCGTGTTGCGCAGAGTTGCATGACGAAGTCTTTATTTGTGACACAGTAATGGCTGTATCGCCTACTACTCACATTGAATAAACTTGATATCTACAGAGCTCTATACAAAACAGAACCGTGACGCCAACCAACGAATTGACTTGTTAGGGCGCAGAGCTCTCCGTGTTGCGCAGAGTTGCGTGACGAAGTCTTTATTTGTGACACAGTACTGGCTGTATATCGCCTACTACTAACATTGAATTGACTTTATATCTACAGAACCCGTGACGCCAACCAACGAATTGACTTGTTAGGGCGCAGAGCTCTCCGTGTTGCGCAGAGTTGCGTGACGAAGTCTTTATTTGTGACACAGTACTGACTGTATCGCCTACTACTCACATTGAATTCACTTGATATCTACAGAGCTCTATACAAAACTGAACCGTGACGCCAGCCAACGAATTGACTTGTTAGGGCGCAGAGCTCTCCGTGTTGCGCAGAGTTGCGTGACGAAGTCTTTATTTGTGACACAGTACTGGCTGTATTGCCTACTACTCACATTGAATTAACTTGATATCTACAGAGCTCTATAGAAAACTAAACCATGACGCCAACCAAAGAATTGACTTGTTAGGGCGCAGAGCTCTCCGTGTTGCGCAGAGTTGCGTGACGAAGTCTTTATTTGTGACACAGTACTGACTGTATCGCCTACTACTCACATTGAATTACTTGATATCTACGTACAGAGCTCTATAGAAAACTGAACCCGTGACGCCAGCCAACGAATTGACTTGTTAGGGCGCAGAGCTCTCCGTGTTGCGCAGAGTTGCGTGACGAAGTCTTTATTTGTGACACAGTACTGGCTGTATATCGCCTACTACTAACATCGAATTGACTTGATATCTACAGAGCTCTATACAAAACTGAACCATGACGCCAACCAAAGAATTGACTTGTTAGGGCGCAGAGCTCTCCGTGTTGCGCAGAGTTGCGTGACGAAGTCTTTATTTGTGACACAGCACTGGCTGTATATCGCCTACTACTCACATTGAATTCACTTGATATCTACAGAGCTCTATAGAAATCTGAACCTGTGACGCCAACCAACGAATTGGCTTGTTTTGGCGCAGAGCTCTGCGGGGGTATCGCGGAGGGCTGTACGAGCAACCTCCATGGAGGAGCTCTGCAGAGCTGAGGGCTGAACGAGCAACCTCCATGGAGGAGCTCTGCTGCCATGGAGCTAGCTCGTGCAGCCCCTTCTCTCCGGTTGGCATGATGATGAAGGTGTTTCCTCCATTGTGGACAGCTGTCACAATTTCTAGTTGGCCTTGCCTGAAAGAGTTTAAGCCAAACACACGCTTCAGACACTCCTCCAGTGGATCGGAGATGTCGGCATCTATTAAAGCCGGTTCGTGATCAAAGTCATTGTTGCTGGCGGGATGTACATTGTGGTGTTGGGCCATTTTTACAAAAACTGGTTTGCAAACAATACATGGTACCTTTGCCTTGCCTTCTGTGTACCAGACATGATAATCAATGTGCACTGTTTTGTCCAGCTCCTTGTCTTCTACGCTCAAGAAGTATGGTGCATTCCCACTTGCATAGGTATGCAGGAAGCCACCTGCATAGAGAATGATGCCCACCTTCTTTGCTGCCATTTCAGGCCTGGTAGCAGTGACTGTGGTTTTCAGAGCAGGGCATGCCACCTCGTACTGTTGACCTTCTTGTTCCTGTGCCTACAGAACAAAAAAAAAAAAAAAAATGAGACGTTACCCAGGCATATGGTTTGCTGCAGTAGGGAAATATAACCACAAAAATTAACCATACATCCATCAAAGACCATTGGCCTTATGGAAAATGGTGTAATTTTTATTGACAGCTTGATATCAAAACACCTAACTTTCTCCACACCCTCACATTGAAAAGGTAGCCAACGAGGCCAGGAAAATTACACTCATATATAGAAATTATGCTAAGACACTTATAAAATGGCAGATTGTTGACAGTATTGAAAACACCACAACTATTGTGGAATATTTGTAGTCAAATCAATCATATGTTTTGCGGTGTTATCTGATAGACAGTGTCAGATTGAAGTAAAAGCTGAGAAAATTACTTCAACACCATCGATAAAAGTACTGCCTGCATTACTTGAAAAAACCAAGAAACAAGTTTTCCATAACTTTCGCCCTAGACTAAACGGTAAACAGAACGCTTTGAAATATTCATGCAGAGAGGCAAGCCATAATATTTTCCACTGCAGTCAAGATACAAATATCTTTAAAACGCCAGACCAACCTCGATGTCTTGCAGTCTCTGCTTCATTTCTTCGAAGCACAACTTTCTCAGCTTCTGTTTTGCCGCCTTCTCCGTAGTAGCGTCCGGTTTTGCCCCATGTTTTGCGCGGAAGTGCACGTCCAGACCTGCACCTCTCTGGAAAAACACAGCACTGCCGTGGCAGTCATTGTGAGGACACGGAACCCTCCCCTCTCTGGAGGCTCGACAAGCGCCACTTTCTGTGTTTTTGGACACTTCTTCGCTGTTTTCCAGCCTTTCCGCCATTTCCAGAGCGTTGTAACGCCGCTCTGACAATCTGTTGGCATGTAGATTTCCCCATTTTGGCACCTTTTCCCGCCAGAGAGTCTGGTAACACGTATACGACGATCGCACTTTCCATTGTTTTGGTTGTGAACTACCGAGCGTGGTGTCTCCCGAGGGCTATTTTTGGCTGCCCGTTACGTAGCGGGACTGTTGCATATGATTATCTTTCGGGTTTCCATGGCGGTCGGCCATTCTCGGCAGCGATCGGGGCTGGGCGGGTCTCCTTCGGCGCCTGCATACATTATCTCCGCCTGGCCCGGCCAGCTCATTAATTATGCGGCGGCCATCTTGATTCCAGATCTCCCAGCGTCCGTGGAGAATGCCAAAACTCCCTCCGTGGCTAAGTTCCTTCCGCGACTAACTCCCTTCTGGGCAAATGTAGAGGGATAACGGTACACTCATAGCGTCACCAAATGAGGTACTTTGTAAAGGTCCGTTTCATTTGGTATATATTACCATTGTGACAGCATTTTATACCCCAAAATAGGAATCTTGCGTCTTGTTTTAGGTCCCGATAGTAGAAAGAATGCAGTGTAACGTTACATGTATTCAGATGGCCGCCGTGTAACGCTACGTACTAGCGAGCGCGCACGACAATACCGCCAAAGTGGAGTAGGTTATCATAACCCTTTAGATAGCGCAAAGAAAACAAAAACGACAGATTTGCATTAAAGAAAGTTTATTTTCCATAGCCTGGGCTAAGCCACGATCTATAACCTATGGCTTCTCCACGGGCGCTGGGGACGAGCGTGGAGATCTGGAGTGAACAAATACCTGTATGGGAGAACTCCGAGCACTGATTCACGTCATTGAGCAGCGCGCCGCCCCCCTTGCATCCACGGTTATAATATGCATCCGTTCATCGTTAACATGTCAGCACTTAGGATTACGCACCGTGGTATGTTTTAGTCACTTGTACTTGTAGCAAGGAAGATGAGAATACATGTACAAAGTACATCCAAAATTTGAATAAAAGATCCGGTAAAAAATGTCCTTTTTGTTTTGATGTAAGTGATACAGTCAATGATACAGTACATTACTATATTGCTTGTCATGTCACGTTACTACTCGTGTACAGTCCAGTGACGTCCTTTAGAAGTGACAAAACGAACGTTCCATTTGCTTATAACTCCAGTACCTAGAAGTGCCGCATGATACAGATAATGAATTGGCAAAGCAAAGATGACATATTTGTTACTGAGTACAGAGATCATTGAGGTTGAAGACTGGCCCCTGACCCCCTGACTTTTGACCTCCCGATGGATATTTAAGGCCGCAGAACACAGTATTAATGGGCGACCCGGGGGTCTATGACGCGGGTATAGAAAGTAGTGCAGACAGACCTCTTGAATCCTAGCTAGTGTGACTTATGTGACAGGTAGCCATGAGTACACCATACACCGTATGATTTGGACTGTGAAGATTTCCCTGTTCGTATATAAATGCGCGGCATTACGCAACCGCGTTAGGGAGTGAGCTGGCTGCAGTTCCGTTGACCCCGGTAGAGGGCCAAATCAAAGTCGTCGTCATTATGTTAAAAAACATAACTTTTTTTTGGTTTTCAGTTATTTTGTAGAATATACAGGACATTTAAACATATAAGTTGGCCGTACTTCTCTAGTGTATCCTACTATAATTTCTACCGCGTCGAAGTGAGTCACCTTGGGTGCTTAAATATAGGAACTATAGGGCGAAAACTGTATTCTGCCACCATAAATGATATATATTGTAGTAACCACAACAGAGCCTGTAGTTACTGAAGCCAGGTGGTCTCTCACAGAATACACATCTACTCACGACGTGTCACGGCGTCGACAAGTAGTTACAGTCAAGTAATTCAATACCAATGTTGGTGTCTTAAAAATTCACAGGAAAACTAATTCATAGGAGTGTGACTGCGTAAATGTACACTTCATACATTTTACTATACTAGGCTCTAAGTTTTGATTACATTTTGGCAAACTTTCTAAAGAAAGTGCTATATATTTTCCTATTTCTATTTCCACTTTTCAACAGAGCAATTTCTTTTGGAACAAGTACTTTGGACTCTCGAATAAAATTAATCGAACAGAACTGAACAAAGATTTGAATCAACGGAGGTTTAAATGAGAGTCATTGTTACAACCAATCCCTTTTTAGGTACACAATTTATAAATAAACAGCTACGGACTTAAACTTTAACGTCAATGTTAGAAATTAGTCGCTTTCAGCATAAGACACTAAAACAAAAATGAAACGTTATATAGTATGACCAAGCCAATCCCATTCGTTGGTTCTCATATTATTGATAATAAACACTTAATTTCAAAACCCTTGTGAAACCTGCACCATAACATTTATACAAGTCACAAGAAGACTTGAAAAACAGAGTTTTGTTCTAAATACTTAATATTTTTTAGTAATTCAATAAATGAATAAATGGATTTCGGGGAAAAGATTGCTTGGGGCTCCCGCCTTAGTGCATTTCTATGTCGTCTATAAAAACAATTGAAGAAGAAGGTCTCCCGTACTCTATGTAGAGCGCAGGGTGTTAATTCCCATCTCAATTTCTGTAGCCCTTGGGCGACACACAGTTGTGCAATGCACTACAGCAGGGGGCTAGTTTGCTGGTAGTGCTGTGTGTTTGACCTTCTCACACTCTTCCTCATGTGTGCTAAGTGGTAAGCAGAGAACGAAGTGTGTACCATTTTGTAAAGTCTTTGGTATGACCCGGCCAAACAATTGCCTTACCTGACAATTCTAAATTACATCTTTTATACAAGTTTTTGGATTATGATAGAGTTTTGAAATATTACTATCACAAACTAAGCGTTTGTGCCCATATTTATTCCATTTTAGAGGTAACGTACGAAGCACATGTATAGGCAATGTGTGTAGCAAGGATTGAAATGAATTTATTGAAATGTCCTTGGAAACAAGGAAAGACGTCTTCTATATGTATGTACGACTTGAAATGCCACAATCCTATTGGCTGACAGGATCTCACCCCCACACAGAAAATGACTAAGGATTGGGCCATACCAATTTATGCCCCTGTTTCTTGACTAGAGAAAAATTAAGGAATGTACTAATTGGTGTTCAGCACTAAGGACAGGTACTACCAAGAACCAGGGAAATAATTTGATGTGGGCTTAGGGTAAAAAATAACAACTAAATAAACATTCAATCAACTTATAACGATCAGAAGAGATGAAAGATAGAAGTTAAATAAATGCACGCCACTCGCAGTTCTTAATCTATTTATTAGTCTACCAACTGAGAGCACTACACCTCGAATTTATCCAGAGCCGACTGGAAAAAGGCTTCACTTAACTGTAAGTACTTTAGTCATAAATTAGGTCCCCAGTAGTAACAGGAAGACTGTGCGTCATGCCCAGTGTTCTTAGTACCTCATTAATTTTAAACTAGTCAATACTAATTTTAAAGGATACATCGTCATTGTCTAAAATACAAAAACAGACTTGATATTTCTAAAATAAATTTAGAAATTGTACTAAGGAAAAGTCGAGTGAGGAAATTTCATGGGCACTCCGAATCTTTGAGCAGCACCAAAGGAAAATTCCCACAAACAGCTCAGGTCAGTTAAGGCCTGTGACATTTTGTTTATTGTTTATGTTTATTGAAAATCAAAACCCATCAAAGCCGCACGACTAAATTGTGAGGTTTGTACCAAAGCCGTGAGCATGTTACGCTTATTAATAATAACTTTCTTCCGCAACAATTGTACAGTGTACAAAGTATGGCATCTACTAACGTAAGTAAGTACATGTCAACTACATTTTCATAAGGCTAATCTAATATAAAAGTGGGTGGCTAGTATGAGATAGGTATCAACTTATACAATCGTTTCTAATATCTATACAGTCTTTAATATATATCCCTATGTATATCATGTAGGGGTTGTCACAAGTCAATATGTATTTAAATTTTCTTTCCAAGTACAAACTTAGTGTAGAAACCGGAAGATTCCCTAAAATTTCCAATGACCAGAGGGTTTGTCCATTTTGTCCAGAGCTTATTGAGGACGAATATAACTTTTTGATTGTGTTTCCTAAATATACTGATGTACGCAATGCACTATACACTAGACTATCAGATTCGTTCCCAGCATTCACCACAATGAACTTGAAAAGAAAAGTTAAATACATATTGACTTGTGACACAGAATTACTACTTATTACATTTTAAGATGATACTTGATACTAAAATACACAATATACTGTACATTTTTAAAAACATTTTCCATCTATTTATGATCTTTAAAGTAGCATTAAGTTATGGTATTTTGCTGCTGCGACATTTAAGCGAGTTAAAACAATTCTAGAAGAAAGGTCTAACAAAACACAGTCTTTCGGGTATTATACTTGAAAGGGACACGAAATAACGGCTTAAAAACACAAGTCCAGGCAGATGTGAATACCATTACGGAGAGTAGATTATTACAAAGTCTCATTGTAAAGTCTGACAACAGCGTACAAAAATGGTTGGATCGAACGCTGATCTCGCGTTTGGACTATTCCATTCCAGCCGATTTGGAGGTTGCGTGACTGAACAACTAAACGCTGGTGATTTCCAATGTATATAGATCTTCCATGTTTATAGACAAATAAAGATTCAGCTCTATATTTCTATTTGTTTATTTGTATTTACCGCAAGTGTGAAAGGTAAGACAAAACAAAACAGGTGCATTGACACCTCTACAAGTTGTCCTCCAAAATACTACAATATAAATACAGATTGCAATATTAAATATAAAACAGATTACAACATTAAACTTTTTTAACATGAAATACAAATACCTACAATATAGTACATTAAACATGAAATACTATACAATGCCATGAAATATCATACCCTATATACAAACAAATGGCAATGTTAAAAAACTAGTAATAATGCTAATGAGGTCGTAAAGCTGTACAGCAGGCGCACCCACAAGACATGAAACGTGAGCAAGTAAGGTCAGAGCTGTTGTGACCATGAAATCTACTGAATTTTGCTCTTAGCTTAGAAGAGATCACTTA